TGAGCATCTTGGATAGATATCTTGTCATCTTTCACAATATCAGGGAAGTTTCCTGCCAACAAATCTTCAACAATTGTCTCTGTATTTTCTGTTAGCCACCACCCCCTGCCCCGTTCTGGTACTCCAATCACTCGTAGGTTATTCCTCTTGATACAGCCCCACATAATTCTCAGGGTTTCTTCATTTTTTTAAATCCTTTCATCTGATTTTTCCTCAAATAAGCTGGTGTCAAGTGCTTTATCTTCAATGTCACTAATTCTGACTTCCATTGCCTCAATTCTGCTCCTATGATTTTCTATTGAGTTGTCAAATTCTGAAATTTTGTTGTTAATCTTCTGGATTTCTAATTGCTGTCTCTCTATGGATTCTCGCAGCCTGTTAAATTTGTCATTATGCTCTTCTCTAATCTTTTTAATTTCCTCTATTGCGTGTTCTGCATTTTGCTTAATTTCCTTCCTAACTTCTTGAAGAGTTCTGTATATTAATCTTTTGTATTCTGCCTCCAGTAATTCCAAGAAATTTTCCTCCTCTGGAAAATTTCTAGGTTCTTTATTTTGGGACCTTGGCAAAGCCATCATGGATTGCCTGTTTATGGGATTTGATATTGACTGTTGTCTCTGAGCCACCAATAAGTTATTGTATTTACTTATCTTATGTTTGCTTACTGTGTCCTAGCTTCTTGTTTTGTTTTGATATGCCCAAATAAGCTGCTCATATGAGCTATTTTGATTTTTGGCACCTTTGAAGCTCTAATGTCCTGTCACCAGGTGGTTAGATCTGTTACTAGGTATGTGAGCTCTGGAGTCTGCCCACTCCTCCTGTATGGATTCAGCTCAGGTGCCTTGGTAGATAGCCACCAAGTGTGTGGTGTAGGCTCTCACTTACAGTCCTAGACAGGAATGGGTGATTGGTGTAGGCACAGGCATCTGGCTACAGCAGGGGAACACACTCTGAGCAAGGCAGTGGGCTGAAGGCTGCCCGAGTGTCCAGGAGGAAGGCGTGTCCCTGTTCCCTAGTGCGCTTATGTGGTTGGGTTTTGCAGCCAGACTATGAGCACCTAATGCTGTTGGCTGTAAGAACTGGGAGGCACCTCTTATTCATGGGCCCCTATCGCAGGTGGCTAGGTGGCATAGGCAGAGCCACCAGTCCTCAGGCCTCTGATGTGGGTAGGTGAAGACCCTGCTTAATGGGCAGAGCAGTGTCAAATGTCATGAACCTGCCACTTTACAGCTGTAACAGTTGAAGTTAGACTTCAGGTATACACCCTGTTGTACTGTGGTAATGAGGGTCTATGCTGTTGAAATGGGCCCACACAAGTCTATGCAGTGGAAAAGGCATTCAAAGTCCAGGCGTGTGACGGACTCTACTTCCGGCCCAGGAGACTCAGCAATTGCTGAAGCCAGTCCGGGACCCAGTGAAGAGCAGGGAGCGGTGAGGTAAATGAGAGAGAGGTTTTTCCCTAAGGGGGATGTTTTTGATCCACGTGGTAGGCCACAGGCAAGTACTTATCTTTCACAGATACAGGGTTGCTTCTTACTGGTTCTGGATGGCCATGTAGACTCTCTGACACTGGGTCTCTTCCAGTGCGGAAAACTTGCCTCCCGAGCACAGATGCTTGCCTGCCACACCGCTCACCCCCGAGCTGATCAGGCCTGAAGGGCTCAGGCTCTTGCCGGGTCAGATCTGGCAACTCCTTGATGCTTCTGAATCATCTCTCCCTCCCCCTGCCACTCAATCTGGTTCCTCAACTCTGCCTTTGATGTTCAGGGCTCCCAAACTGCCATATATAATCGATTCACTTGTTTTTTTCAGGTCTTTGCTGTAAGAGGGTCCACCGGAAGTGTCTGACTACTCCACCATCTTGGCCCTGCCTCAAGGATGTAAATCTTTATGAAAGTAGACTGCCACATCTTTGTCCCTTGGAGAGGCTGGTGGGTTTAACTTGATGACCTTTTGATTCGCAAACAACCTCTTAACCACTGCACCACCAGGGCTCCACATATCACTTAGTATTGGTTTAACTGCTCAGCGCATTCAGATATTATATTAAAAGTTTCCAATATTTCTGTAGAAAGATTTATTGACCAAAGCCTGCACCCACAAAGATTACCAGACTTGGATTCATTAACCAGTAAAATTTGCAAAAATATTTGAGATATAAACACAGGTTTGGCCAACTGATTTTTATTCAACCAAGTGAGATTCTTAAAATAAACTATCATATTTTTCCTCCATAATCTCAGAAGAAAGGATGTGCCTTTAACTTGAAAAAAAAAAGAAGTTAGATTTAAGAAACTCCAACTTTTTCTTATTTCACCAAAGATTCGCAAAAACTTGCTCAGCTCCATGTTTAGTAACATTGCTTAAGGATATATGTAGATTGGATTCAGAACAATTAACTATGATGAATAATTTTCAGTCCTTGGGCAGAAGGGGCTTACTCTTCCAGATAGTCAAAAGCAAGAAATATGGGCAGTCACTGAGAAGAATTTTGTCAAGAATGACTGGCTCTGCAAATTATGTAGTTCAAAAGATAGATCTGTCTCCAGTATTAACACTTGCATCATAAGGTATCACAACCCACTACATTTCAAAATTTACCTAAAATCAGCTCTGAAGAATTCTGAATGGCTCACCCAAAATGAACAACAAAAGTACTACAAATAATTTTGCATTTTTCACTTTCCTAAATGGCTGATTAAAAAAAGAAAAAAGAAAAAAAATCTTCTAAAGAGTACTATAAAGGAATTACTGAAAGCTATGAGTAATACTAACGTTTTCTGGGAAATTTTCTTTTTTATCTTTAGTAATTTCCTTTTTATAACACTCTAAGGGCAATGAACATAGCATAAACATCACCAGTTAACATAAATATAGTCTGATATTAAATATATTTTAAATAATTCATTCAGAATCCATGAAAAACATAAATGTAACAAAAAAACTTTGCTTTCTTAAAATTATAAATTACAGTGTCCGAGTCAGTCTTTTTAAATCTTTGAACGCAGAGAAAACCACTTTTCTCACTTTCTAATAATATGTGTCCTTACTATGATGAAGACAGGACAGTTCTTGGAATGCTCTAACTCCACAGTGGAACAGCCCATTTATCTGGCCTTGTCTGGAAATGAGGTGCTCCACATAAACGACTTCTCTGAATAACTTAAGCATATTACTTTCAAAGCCAAAGCATTTTTTTATTTTAATAATTTACTGAAATACTTTTTCTTTTTATATTATTGTTTTGCTCCTTCAACAGAAGACACTGAATTTGTACTGAAACTTTTCCTCAAGACTCCCTGAAGTGAACCCATTATTACATCATACATTGCTGTGGTCTACAGCTCCTTTGTCGTATCTCTGCCTCCTTTTATATCACATTTTGAGACAGTGTCACTCTTGCTAACATTGTGCCAAGCTCTAAGAAATACCATCACCATTTTAGATATGAAGAAATGGAGGCTGTGAAAGGTAAGGTACTTGCCAAGATCACAGACCAGTGCATGGAAGAGCTTATTTATTTCAAACCTCATACTCCATGCACTGTCTCCTTAAAAAAAAAAAAAAAAAAAGTTTGTTCTCTTAAAGTTACAAAATAAATCCCACCAGGGCTTAAATGAGATGCCACTAGGTTGATGCACACATAGAACGACACAGCATCAGGAGTCAGGAAAACTGGGGCATGGCCAAGGTTGCTTTCAGCTCTAAAATTTACTTATTTTAGAAAAGGGTCTTTTAAAACTCTTCACCATTTCCTTTTGGGTGAATTAGGCCTATGACATGAAGGAGGGAACTCACCATGTGACATCTAAAAATAAGTGTGCTACCATTCGCAGCGCCTGTACATTGTCCATCTAGGTGGAGCCCCATCAAGAAAAGAAACACTTGGTTTTTTAACGGGGATTATCATGGCCTGCATCACAAATCAAGGACAATAAAGAGTTTTTGGAAGCTCCTACCCTGAGCAGAGCTTACTATAAATTCTCTAATGCTTCACTTATTTTCCCTTCATGTTGTTTTTAGTACAAATGCACAGTAAACAAACAAAGTCAGGAAGCATTTAAATAAACAGGAAATCTGTGTTACAATGATAATTTTCACCAACTCAACAATTGTAAAACAAAGAGCCAGACTTGGAGATTGTCCTGGACTTGAACCTCTGCTCATATCCAAGAAAGAATAACTGAGCAGATAGCTGGATATCTATCATGTAAGATAGTGATTCTCAAATGTTTTATGACCCAGATCTAAGAGAAATTAAAGGAAACCGCCACATGTGGTCATCTGGGAATGTCCCTCCAACCAAGAGGAAACTATGGTTGGAGACATGCACTCTCATTTGGGAGAAGAGCTTGATTTGAAGCAAAATCGATGGTTAAGTTCAAGCCACCAGATTTTACACATCTCAATATAGTCCTCATTTGAGAAGCGGGCTGGGTGCCTTGCTATACTGTAGTTAGGTAAGAAAAGCTAAAAGAGCCTATACTTCATAAATGTTACTGTTGATATCCATACTCTAAATGAAATAAGATTGATGATCTCATTTAACCTTCTCAACAACACAAGGCGGCAGGTAATTTTATTACCCCATTTTGCAGGTAAGGAAACTGAGGCTTAGGAGGTTAAGTAAATTACAGAAGCTCACTGAATAGTAAGCAGCAGAGCCAGGATTTGAACCAAGGTCTTTCTGACTAGAAAGCTCATGCCCTTATTCCTAATTCTGAAATGAGAACCATTATTTTAAGAAAATTAAAAGGATTTTTAACTTAGAGATAGCTCTAAAAGTCGTGAAAAATTATCAGTTCAAAAAGAACTTGAATATTTATTCAGTAACCTCTCCTTAAATGGATACTTCATAGCAGTTTAGCAAAACGGCTTTTCATAAATTCTAAAATATAAATGAATCAGGTGAAATGAAGGGGAAATGTTATACATGGGAAGAAAAGTAGGGCATGGAGTTATCTGAAGGATTTCTCAATAATGAATTGCACCATTGGGAACTGAATCATAGGCTTAACTTTTCAGCACAGAGACAATTACCACAGCCAAAGTTTTGGACATTTGTTTTAAAAGTGTACCACTCATTCCATGCTTTCTACCTCAGAAATCTTAGCGCTTACCTCTCTCTGAAAAAAATTCCAAGCATGAGTAAGCCACCGGTATCTAGGTAAGCCGTAATGTGTCATTCTTGCTTTCAAAGTGACCATATCTGACCACTGTACTGGAACCTGGAGATAAAAAGCATAATATCAACAACTATAACACATGCACACATACACACACACACACACACACACACACATATTCATGCACATACCCATGCACACACACATGCTCACATGTACTTGAAATATACTGCAATTGACAAATACTATTTTAAGCCTGTATTTGTAACCTAAATTACATTTGGGGTTACTAAATACTTACTGAACAATCTCTTCATGCAACATGCAACGTTTTGTACTAAATGAGGAGGTACTTTGTACTAAGCAAAATAATCAGAAATGATCGCAGTACCAATATCAAGTTCAAGGAAATCTCAGACATGTAAGTACCTATACATTCTACAGATACACCGAAAAGCTAGTCATAACAAATGATCCCTTGAAAGAAATGACCTTTGATTGGATTTCAGAATGCTATAACGTTCTTTGGAATGACTGTAAATAAACCAAAAAAAAAAAAAAAAACCCAAACTCATGGCTGTTGAGTCGATTCTGACTCATAGTAACCCTACAGGACAGAGTAGAACTGCTCCATAGGGTTTCCAAGGATCGGCTGGGGGATTGAAAATGCCAGCTTTTGGTTAGCAGCCAAACTCTTAACCTCTGCACCACGAGGGCTCCAAAATAAAGAGAGAAGAATAAAAAGAAAAAGAGCTTAGCTCAAGTCAAGCTTCATTGCAGAGTAATTTGGTAAACACCTTTCAGAAATTGGGTTTAGCTTCTTCCACATGTTGCTATAAAAAAAAAATTAGCATCGAGAGCTTAAAGGGGGTGCCTCGTGGGGGAAGGTGTTATTTGCGTAAAAATACTGTATATGGCTAGGAACAGAAGTGCTGGATCATATGCCAACTCTGTGTTGAGCCTTCTGAGGAGCCACCAGGTAACTGTCTAGGGTGGCTGCACCATTTTGCAGTCCCACCATCAGTGTTGTGAGGGTATCAATTTCTCCACATCATTGTTAACACTTGTAATCATCTGTCTTTTTGATTACAGCCATCTTAGTGGGTGTCAAGTGTTAGCTTGTTATGTTTTGATTTGTGTTTCCCCAATGACTGATCATGTTGAGCATCTTTTCATGTGCTTGTTGGTCATCTGCACGTCTTCACTGGAAAGGAGTCTGTTCATATCCTTTGCCTATTTAAAAAATTGAGTTATTGTCTTTTTATTAGTGAGCTGTAAGAGTTCTGTATACGTTCCAAGTACAAATTCTTTATCAGATATATGATCTGCAAACACTTCCACCCATTCTGTGGGTTGTCTTTTCACTTCCTTGATGGTGTCCTTTGCAGAAAATATGTTTTAATTTTTTTAATTGTGGTAAATATGTATGTAACAAAACATTTGCCATTTCAACATTTTTTACTGTACAATTCAGTGACATTAATTGCATTTATCATGTTGTTCAATCACCATCATTATCCATTTCCAAATTTTTCCATCACCTTTAACAGAAGCTCAGTGTTTTCTAAGCAGAGTCCTCCTTTTCCTCTTCCTCCCAACTACTGCTGGAAACCACTAATAAACTTTGGCCTTTATATTAAAAAAATAAATAAATAGGTAACGGATATGAACAGACCTTTCACCAGGAAGGATGTTCAGGCGGCTAACAGGTACATGAAGAAGTGTTCGTGATCATTGGCCTTTAGAAGGATGCAGATCAAACCTACAAGGAGATACCATCTCACCCTGATGCTACTGGCACTAATCGAGAAGACAGAAAATAAAAAATGTTGGAGAGGTTGTGGAGAGACTGGAACTCTTGTACACTGCTTGTGGGAGTATGGAATGGTGCAGCCACTATGGAGGACAGTGTGGTGTTTCCTTAGGCGGCTAGAAATGGAAATATCATGTGGCCCAGAAATCCCACTCCTAGGTATATACCCAAAAGAAATAAGAGCCGTGACACGAATAGACATATGTACACCTACGTTCACTGCAGCACTGTTCACGGTGGCAAAAAGATGGAAGCAACCTAGGTGCCCATCAGCAGATGAACAGACTAACAAACTGTGGTGCATACACACAATGGGATACTATGCAATGATAAAGAATAATGATGACTCTGTGAAACATCTCACAACATGGGTGAATTTGGATGATATTATGCTGAGTGAAATAAGTCAATCACAAAAGGACAAATACTGTATGAGACCAGTATTATAAAAAAAACAAAAACAAGAAAAGGTTCATGCACAGAAAAAAAAAAAAACTTCAATGGTTACCAGGGAGGGAAAATTACCAAATAGAAGATATGCGCCAATTTTGGCGAAGGGAAAGGCAATATACAATACAGGGAATATTAGCAAAACATGACCAAGGCAAGGGAGGACAATAAGAAGAACACAATAACAAAGGGTGACAACGGTTAATTACTATAGCATAGACAATCCTGCAACAATAATATTAACAAACAATAATTTATAAATGGATACCTAGGTAGATAGGTATGTCAAGAGGTATGGGAGGGTGTAAGGGAACACATTCACCTGCAGATACAGGTTCGGTGGTAGATATTTCTATATACATAGCTATTAAGTGCTGCTTATATATTAATATAGGCAATACAGCACACAAGGGCCACAGTCAGGGCAACTTTTTAGACTTAACCAAACACCTCAAGGGACGAAGTTCCTAGCCTTCAAGGTGAAGGACCATAGACTCAGGGAACATCTATGTCAATTGGCACAACATAGTTCATAAAGACAAAGTTCTGCATCCTACTTTGGGGGAGTAGCTTCTGGAGTCTTAAAAGCTTGTGAACAGCCATCTAAGATACAACTATTGGTCTCTTACCGTCCGGAGCCAAGGAAAGTGAAGAAAACCAAAGATTTAAGGGAGCAATTAATTCAAAGGACTAATGGACCACATGAACCACAGCCTACATGACCCCAAGACCAGAAGAATTACATGGTGCCCGGCTACCACTACTGACCACTCTGACTAGGAACACAACAGAGGGTCCTGGATAGAGCAGGAGAAAAACAGTAGTACAAGAAATCAAATTCACAAACAAGAACAGAATTGCTGATCTGATAAAGACTGGAAGAATCCCTGAGACTATGGTCCTATGACTCTTCTGAACTGGAACTGAAGCCATTCCCAGAAACCACCTTTCAGCCAAACCATAGATAGACCCATAAAATAAAGTTACACCCGAGAGGAATGTGCTCTTTAGAACAATCAATTACACAAGATCAAAAGGGAAATATTTGCTCAAAAGCAAAGACGAGAAAGCAGGAAGGGTAGAAAACCAGGACAAAAGGAAACGGAGAACCCAGGGCAGAAATGAGGAGAGTGCTGACACATTGTGAGAAATGAAACCAATGTTATAAAACACTTCATGTACAAACTATGGAATGGGAAACTAATTTGCTCTATAAACTTTCACCTAAGGCACAATAAAAAATGTTGTTTAAAAAAATTGGATTTAGGAAGCATGCTAAAATTTTAGAAAGAACAGTTCTCAACTTTAAGCATTTTTTGTGCTTCTATTTTCAAGTCATCTAGCACCATGTCCATTAATGTTTAATCATGACAGACCTTCAGGTATACAACCTAGCAGTTGGCCAGAAATCTGATCAGCATATCAAGCTATGTTTCATCTATACAGCCAGGGCAGAAATTGAGTATACCGATCCTAGTCTCACCACATGTGTGGCGATAAAGCTACTTTTAGGAAACTGGACATACATCCATGTCTGCTTCATGGAGTAACAGGCACTTGGCTTAGTGAAGCAAGCTTAGCACTCAGCAAGGGAAGTAAAGATCAAGAGGGAAAAAGGAGGAAGGGGAGAGGTGAATATATACAGCCCAGATAGAACTCAAGATTAGGACTGCTTTTAAATCTTATAAAAAGATAGTACTAGCAACAGAAGTAGTTTTAAAATGTCTGACCACAGAAATTCTTCATTTTTTTCCCCCTTTGTTCATTTTCTATGACTTGGAAACATGCAATACCAAAGAAAACACCCAAGTTCAGGGAATCAACCCAAGTTCAAACTACTCACTGTAAATTAGTATTATCTCATACCTTTTTGGGCATAAAATACATGGATGGAAGATAAATTCCCTAGGAATTTATAATCAGAAATAATTCATATTATTGACAGATTTTACCTAGAGAAAGAATAACATGTAGGAGGTGAATGGGTTTAAATAACAGAAATATAGCGAAACAGACTGTCTGATTTCAGTTATTAGAACAGTCGTTTTTATCTTACTTTACAAAATAAAATATAGGTTGTTTCTCCACTGTGACCACAATTGATCTGAGACCAAAAATGGCAAGAAACAGGAGAGACCACTAACGTTCTGGCACAAAATACTGGGATCTGGCCATAAAGTAGAACATACATTATTAGTTACTTGCATGGAACAGCCAAAAGCACAAAGCTCATTCTATGTGAAGGCTGGCTTCTGCAAAATCTGGCAGATAATAAACTTTAATGGCACTTTTCATTCATACTGCTATGAGGGTAAAAGCAATAAAAAATCTGACAAACTTCTTTTCTAAATGACTATTTTCCACAGTTCAAATTTAAACAACCGTTGTTTTATCCTGGTGACTTAATGGGGCAGACTTACACAAGCAAAACAGTGATGTATGCCTTCAACTAAAATGGCAGCACCCAGCCACTTAGCACCTCTACAATACTAAAAAGCTATCTGCAGATTGCCCCTCAACAGAATAAAAAAAATGTTAATTCCCTTCAGTTTTCTCATGTTTCTCAGAATTATATTAGAATCAAAACTTTTCCTTTCCAATAGTTTAAATGAGCTCATTTTGAACTAGTTATAATTTAGAAGATTTAGCAAATGTTAATATCATACACACACTATACAATCCATTTAAAAATTTACAGAAAGCAAATTCATTTCTAAAATCAAAGAATAATTCCTTTAAATTTTAAAAAAGAACACTATCAAAAGCTAAGGTAAGGGGATTAAGAATTAATTATAAGATTTACTGTCTCTTGCTTGAATGTCAAGGAGATAAATTTATTATTTGAAAATAGAAAAATTATAGAGACAACCATTTTACATAAAACACATAGAAACTAAGTCCCCATTTTTTTCACTCCGATTATTAAGGAGCCCTGGTGGTGCACTGGTTAAAGCACTCGACTGCTAACCAAAAGGTCAGTGGTTCAAAACCACCAGCGGCTCCGAGGGGGGAAGATGTGATAGTCTGCTTCCGTAGAGGTTTACAGCCTTGGAAACCTATGGGGTCGCTATGAGTCAGAAGCGACTCAACAGTAGTGGTTAATTATATAAAGCGTCTAGGAATGGAGTGGAAACATGATTCTCAAAAACAGCAATAGAATTCCTATTCTAATAGTAGATTTAGTTTTGAAGAAAGTTTATTTTATATTAGTTAGAACCTGCCATGATTTTTCGATTTTTTTAATAGAGAGAAAAATAATCACAAATCCTGCCTTCTTACTGAGAGCTGTCATACCGTGGAAGCATGAGTATTTTTACTGGGGTTCAGATGTGTGGCGGTGCCAGAGCATCGTTTACATGTAAAGGGGAGTATGCAGAGTATCTGTGTGTCTAATTATTACTTCGTATTCAAAACAGTCTCACAGGAGAGTAGCAGATTCATCAAAGAATCTTTAATAACTGAATCAGTACTAGATACAACTTCAATTTGATTACACAGCTGCCAAAATGTCTCTCTTCCCTCTGAAACAAATAACCCCACATTCTTCTTAATGGTTTTCAAATTTTACAAGGTATAAGAGTCCCCTGGGGAACTTGTGCAGAAATAATGTGGCAGTCTGCTCTGTAAAGATTACAGCCTTGGAAATCCTACGGGGCAGTTCTCCTCTGTCTTTCAGAGTTGCTGTGAGTCGGAATCAGCAGTGGGTTGGGGAACTTGTCATAAATGCAAATGTCCAGGCCCCTGCCCCTTCCTCCTCTGGCTTCCCCTCCATTCTGATCTGGGCTACAGCCTGATAATGCATATTTGTTTAAGAATCCCCCTGGGGGACTCCTGATGCAGATGGTTCAAGGGCCATATACTGAAAAACACCTCTTGCAAAACAAAATTATTCCACAATGCTTACGTTGGAAAAGTCTGGCCTGCCTCCAAGAAGACAGCCAGCATTCACAGGCTTTGAAATGTATATGACCTCATTAGTGATAAATGCACCAATTAAATGAGCAAACATTAAGTAATAATACCTGATGCAAGCAAGGGCGAAGTGCAAGTCCTAAACCAAACCTAACATTCTGAGACTGAGAAACTCCTACCCTCATTCATTCTAACATATTTATAAAGGTTGTTCCAGCAGCTTCAACTGCTAAAAGAGAAAAAAAGCCCAAGAGTTGTTTCCAAGTACCAAGTCTCAGATCGTGAGAGTGTTTCTACACTGGGTTTAACATACAGAAACTCCTCAAACACACTCCTTAAAGAGGAAGATTTTCTGGCTCCTTGCAAACAGGAGAAGCACGCTTCCTCCTCGTCGGTGTACTGCTTCAGTCAGCATTTTATAAGGCTTTCGCGTAGGTTTTCAAGCACTTGCAAACAAATCTCGCTGCAAACGCAAAATCTTTCCTGTTATACACTCTAGTTGGTAAAATTCATTTAGGAACATAGCAGTATTTTTACTTAGTTACATACATGTTTTAAAACTCTGTGGAATCAAAGACATATACCGCATAGCACACCACATGAAATGTTACAAATCATGGTTTGGAAATGTATTTTAGGTAGAATGGACACAGAAAAGAAAAGGTATTTTTCAGAAGTATTGGGACTATTCATTGTTATCATGTACCATGTTGCTGGTGTTGTTAGTTGCCCTTGAGTCCATTCTGACTCGTGGAGACAATGTGTCTAAACTAGTCCAAAGTAACAGATTGAGAATGCTAAACTGGATATTGTTTTAGATTGTGTTTACTCCCATTGTGAACTCACCATGATTTCCTGCTCATATGTCCAAACACCACAGGCCAGTTCTACACAGAAAATGACAAGTAAACTTCCAAAGTACTGTAGGAGAACAGAAAATTATGCTGTTAGTATAGAATTAAAGCATGGTCATCAAAGACAAGCTAAATATTCTTCAGTGTTGTATTTATCTAATGGAAAAGTAAACAGAGGCACGTCTTCATGAAGCTTCCTCAAGAACAGATGGGTGAAATTTCAGCAAATTTAGAGACATCTGCAGACAACATTCAATACTCACCTAAGTGGGTCACTGCTTATTACTCATCTTCTGGGACAAATCTTTTATAAATGCCAGTACTTTCATTAGGTTAAGCTAGAATGTGTATGTTATAGTTTGATAAACTATATCAAGTTCTCTAAACTGTGGTTGAGAAACTGGACCTGACTTTTTTTTCCCAAAGTGGAAGAGGTGAGGTCAACAAGTCCAAGTCTCTACCTATGAGCAGATACTAACTCATCATCATTCTAGGCAGCCGACCTCCTTTCCATTCTTTTAAAACTACAATATAGAGCAATATCTCAATTACCAATCATGCTTTAATATGTATAATAACATAATGCAGTAAGTTTCTATTATCTGGAAGGCATTTGGATATATAAAAGAATATCAGAACTTCTGATAAGGTATACACAGGCAAAGAAATAACAAAGGAGAATACAATGTCAAAAACAGAAATGAAGATATAAATTCAGAGGCGTCCTATGAGAGATGTGTGCCAGGCCTGAAAATCGAAGAGGACTGGAAAAGAGAGAAGAGAAAATTCCAAGCAAAGATGTACAAGTGTGCAGAGGCAGCAGGAAAGTAAAATAAATGTTCAGGAAACAGGAAACAGATCCATCTAGCTGTGGTGGGTGGTCATAAAGAGGAAGGGTAGAAGATCACATCTGAAAGGTAGATTGGAGCCAGATTACGGAGAACTTGAAGTAAAAAGCTAATGGATTCTAAATCTATCCTGTAGACACTGGGGTGGCATCTTTTTAAAGTTTCTAAATAGGGGAACGAGAAGATAAACAAATGTTGAGTGCAGATTAAATAACTGCAGGGTTCTACATGGACTGGAAGGAAAAGGCCAGGGGGTGAAGGATCCTTTGATGCTGTTGTTTAGTGCCTTCCAGTCAATTTTTGACTCATAGTGACCCTGTGTGACAGAGCAGAACTGCCCCCATACGGTCTCCTAGCCTGTAATCTTTATGGAAGCAGATCACTAGGCCTTCCTCCTTCGGAGCTGCCAGGTCCTTTTGGTTAGCAGCTGAGCACATAACATTGCACCACCAGAGCTCCTTGAAGCACTCCTTAGAAGGCAGCAAAGCAGAGACATTTGGTGAGGACCTGAATTTAGTTAGATGGTAGTCTTGCAAATACATGAGAGAAAGAATAGATTCAAGAGATGTAACAAAAGAAAAATTGACAAGCATTTTGACTGACTGGACTCAGGTACTGAGGGAGAAAGACACATTTGACCAAAACAGAAACTGAGAATAGAGAATAGTCCTGTGGGAAGAAGAACCATTCATTTTAGATGTGTTTTCTAGAAATGTTTATTAAACTACAGGAAATGTAGATCTGGACCTCAGGTACTCAAGGGTGTAAATGGAAATTATTAAGATGATGATGATGATTACAAACAAAAAATGTTTTATTATTTATAATAAGGAGCCCTGGTGGCACAGTGGTTAAGCTCTCGGCTGCTAACCAAAAGGTCGGCAGTTCAAACCCACCACCCACTCCTCAAGGAAAAGATGTGGCAGTCTGCTTCTGTAAAGATTTGAAAACCCTATGAGGCAGTTCTACTCTGTTCTATAGAGTCGTTAGGAGTTGGAATTGACTCGAAGGCAATTTTAGTTTTCATAATTAATTCACTCAAGAACCTTGTGTAATGGATAGGACTAACCTATTTTACAGATGAGAAAATTAACACCAAAAGTAGATAATGCGATTTGCACAAGAATGTGCATAGTAAATTTTGGCACATTCTGTGGCAGTATTCTTTGTGCTATTCCTTTCCACCTCCCCAGTAGTGGAGCTAACTACATAGAAACAAGTAGTAAAGGTATGGGAAAGAAGGAGATCTCTGAAACTTCTCTTCACTAATTCCAACAGGAATACAACAACATCCCTGCTTTCATAAATCGTCCATTCCATCTGGGCGTCAGGGGTACCAGGTAGTGATGATAATCAATAATCTCTCTTTATTGGCATAAAAGCTCCATGAGGGCAGGCAATTTACTGTGTTCTTCATCACACAGCAGGCACTCAATAAATATTTGATACATAAAACAATGAATGAAATCAAAGCAAGGTGGTACGAGAGCACAACTAGGGAGCCACCCTGGACTAGGTGATAAAGAAAGGTCTCTTTAGGAAGGCGATGTTTCAGAAGAGTCAGTCATGACAGGAGGAGTCAATCCTGTCAGGATTTGTGAAAAACAATGCAGGAAGAGGAAACATGAGGTACAATGCACCCTCACAAGGTGAGCTAGTTAGTTAAGGGCTCAGTGGTAACTGGAGCACAGACAGGGTGGAGGAGTACAGGAAGTGCAAGCAGACAGAGGTACAAGAAGCCAGATCATGAAAGGACTTATGGGCCATGGAAAGGATTTTGGATATTATTCCAAGTGCAATAAAAATCCTTTGGCAGGTGACATGATCTAACGTACGTTATAAAAACATAATTCCGGCTGTTTTGTGAAAAACATCCTGTAGGAAAGCAAGCCTGTGATCAGGAAGACCAAATAAAAGATTGCTGAACACAACGGTAGCAAGAAAATGGGGAAAAAGTGGGCTGATTTAGGATCCTGAGTCGTCAGGACTTGAACTTTACATTTTTTTGCCTGTAATTTTTGCAAGAAAGAAAGGGATGGTAGATGTAGAAAACTGGATAGATTTTCTACTACTTCCATGATATGCCCCTTATAATTTCAAAAAATAAATTCTTGCTATTAGTTTTCATTTACTTCTTTCATATATAACATACAGAATGTATAACTGCATAATCTCATAGACAATAACACGGCTTAAAAAAATTGGTTCAAATATAGTGTTTCCTTGAGTGAATACCATTTTACAAGCTACCTTTCTTTTCAGTATATGTAATACTCATGGTCAGCTTCAATCTGCTCGGAGCTCATTTCCAAGTGTTACTATCTCTACACCTTACTTTAAAGATTTCAGCGGCGATATGGTGATTAGAAGAACTTTTGTGAACTCTAAGTCAGTTTTTCTCCAAATTCTCTTTCATGCTTTACTTAAGGGTTTACTAGACAAAAACAATATTAAAACTGCAATTTATAAAGTGGCCGAAGGTGCTGTAACTAGATGCTGGATCAATCTTCTTTAATAAGACCAAAAGATCCTAGGAGAACATGAGACTCTGGAAAAGAGTAACACTATGGGATACCTTTGCTCTCTCGTCCCTAACCTAAATTCTTTTCAAAACCGATGTCAGGTTACAATGAAAATCAAAGCAGCCCTGAAATGACAAGGCATTAAAGGTAAAACACAAACATGGATGGTAGGTGTGTGTACTGTTGATAGAAAGGGATTAGGGGATACCCTGACATTGCCTTGGGGCTAACCACGTAAGGAGGATGTTCTGGAGTGATTTGATAACCATTCAAACCTCTTTTGAGGTCATCAGGTGCTGCGAATGGTTTGCACTTGTCTGGTAACTGAAAGGTTAATAGTTTGAACCCACCTAGCCACACGGCTGAAGAAAAAGCCTGGTGATCTATTTCCATAAAGATTACAGCCAAGAAAACCCTATGGAGCAGTTCTACCTTGTCACACATGGGGTTGCCATGAGTGGGAACTGATTAGATGGCACAAGATAACAAAATTCCTTTTGAATTATCTCATTACCTGCGTCCTGGAGTCACTGCCCAGGTTGCAAAGGCAGTGGAACCAACAGGAAGGCCCCAAAACAGAGCTATCGACAAGTGCCCAGATGTGTATAACACCTGAGCAACTCTGCTAGGTCTATGAATCAAAACAACAGCGTCATAACGGCAGGGGTGATAGTCTTTGCTTCCTCACAGCGAGCTTTACAACAGGCTAGCAATACTCTAACTTAAGCATAGGCCGGAAACCAAACGTTAAGGATATGGATCTAAAGCAACTCTCACTTCAAACTGAAAAATGAGACTGGACCAATCATTGGGGATGGGGAGTGGGGGACTAGTCCATATGAGCTGGACACACTTGACTCTGGGAAAGATCCTAAATGCTTGTATCTTTCAGATTTCCAGTGGATTCATTTGAGGCAAGTTCTCTCGTGTAAAAACAGTTCCTTTTGTCTTTATTCTGCTAACACTCAGGAGCACTACATTTATTTGACTTGGGGTTGAAAACAGAAGTTTCACCAACATTATCAGACTTTCAAAAAATTCAGATTTTTTTCTACATATTTTGCTGCAGGTTCCTGGTCACTTGCCTTTGTTTTGTTGTTATTGCTTTAGCCTGACACATCCAGTCTTCTAATTCCAAGGAAAACCAGAAATGTCAACTCCATCCATAACACAACATACACAGGTCAGCTGCATTTTAGGTCAGCCTAAAATCTCTTTATCAGTGAGCCCTGGGTCCTAGATAAAGGCATCCTCTTGATTACTGCATGCACAGTCACTCAACCAATATTTAGTTTAAGGGCTGGATTTGAGACGTCTGTAAAGCATGGTATTAATCTATAGTTTCAAACAGAACGAAACTAGCAAGGAATTAAGCAACGGCTCCAGCTGAGCTTTGTTATGGTATAAAATATATCTCACAGCACATTTCACCATCCTCAGCATCACTGGAAACGCGTACATCTCCCCTAGTCGTGGTCACTGGTAGGGTGGCACAATTGCTTAAGTGATCAACTAACTGAAAGGTTGGCAGTTGGAACACCCCCAGAGGCACCTCAGAAGAAAGTCCTGGTGATTTGCTTCTAAAAGCCTTGAAAACCCTACGGAGCAGTTCTACTCTGCACACATGGGGTTACTGTGAGTCAGAACCAACTCAACGGCAATTCATTGGTTCATTGGCTTGGTATCAGCACGTCTCA